CTTCTCTTCTCTTCTCTTCTCTTCTCTTCTCTTCTCTTCTCTTCTCTCTTCTCCTCTCCTCTCCCCTCCCCTCCCTTCCCCTTCCTCTCTTCTCTTCTCTTCCCTTCTCTTCCCTTCCCCTCACCTTCCTCTCTTCTCTTCCCTTTCCCTCCCCTTCCTCTCTTCTCTTCCCTCCTCTTCTCTCCCCACTCCTTCTCCTCTCCTCTTCCCTTCCCTTTCCCTCCCCTTCTTCTCTTCTTTTTTCTTCCCTTCCCCTGAAAAACTAGCTTTTCCAGTTAATTAAGCAGTTAGTATATTGTGTGGTTTGCTGTACTGAAGAAGGCATCAGGGCTAGAAATCAGGAGACCATGGGCCAGTCACTTTCTCTCAGCCCTAGGAAGAAGACAATGGCAACCACTTCCAAAAAAAAAAAAAAACTTACCAAGAAAATTGCAGGTCTAGTCGAGGCAATCTCTGAGAATCAGACATGATTGAGCAGCAGAAGAAAAAAAGTATGTATATACTGGACCACCTATGAACAGTTTTGTTCATTGTTCCAGAAACATTTCCTTACTTAAACCATTAAGCAGAATGGCCACGAGTGGGCAAAAAAAGTAGGTGCAATGGAAACAAGTTTTGACTTCCTGCTGGCTTTCCCATTGACTTTGTTTGTGGGACAGTGGCAGAAGTCACGACCACGTTACCATGGCTGATTGCAATGGCACGGTGATGCTGTAGGGCATTACAGCAGAACTGCAGGGTGGTGCGGTAGTGCTGCAACAACCACAATTTTGTCAATAAAATGAATCTGAAGATTCCTGAAATTTCAATCCCGCGAAAGTAATGGGCCCTGAATTTTGATCCCATTCTTTCAGCTGATATCGGGCACGAAGGATCAGCTCCACCTGTGAAGGTTCAGTTAAACTAATTTATTGCTACCTAGGTCTGCGCACATGAATATTTCTGACCAACCTGCTATGAACTCGGTAAGGGTCAACAGAATTCAAGGGGGGTGGTGATTGGAGTTAGTTCATTTGTGGCTATGTAGAGATTGTAGGCTGATCCCTCTTTAAACTCCATCCCCAAGGTTCCGCTACTCCTGCCCCTACATTAGTCCATTTGAGCTACCTTGATTTTAAAAAGGGGTTGTCCTGCGATCCTCCATTTTGCCCAGTTGAAGATTACAGATAGACAAACAGACTGGAGAGTTTTAGTAGCATATAAACAGCTAATACATTGTGCAGTGTCTTAAAAACACCCGAGAGGCTATTAAAAAAAGCAAAGGGTTACAACGATCTCACTTGAAGCCTGATTAAATTAGGGGGAAGGTTCATTCTTCTCTTGCAAACTCCAGCAATGGGCTTGAGGGAAAAAAAACGATATTTTTCTGAAATAAGGCAACATTTTCTTTCATTCTTTCTTTTCGTAGGTTTTATATCACCTTCATAAAAAAGTGAAGAATATTTCCAGGAAGTCAGAAAGATCAAAGAGAAAGGTAAATGCCAAACAGCAATTACTAAGCATGGTAGATGAGGAAGATATTTTGTGTAATCAAGTAATCAAAATGTGGTACGTCTGTTTCTATGAGAGATGATGCCCACGGGAGGGAGGGAGGGAGGGGGAGCTGGTGTGAAGGACAACAATGAGGTGGCAGTTTCCCAGAAAGAAGGGAGTATATTAGTAGTAGAAAGGGAGGGGGAGGACAAGAAACAGACCAGCTCAGAGATGCTTAGGAGCAGAGCTGGCATTCAGCAGATTCTGACCAGTTCTCTAGAACCGGTAGCGGAAATTTTGAGTAGTTCGAAGAACCGGCGAATATCACCTCTGACTGGTGATTTTACAGTATCCTTCCCCTGCCATGCCTACCAAGCCACGTCCACAGAACTGGTAGTTAAAAAAATTGAATCCCACCACTGGTTAGGAGACAGAAAGATTCAAATACTTGCCAAATACTTGTGAATGCTCCAACATTTCAAAAAAGATGTTGGATAACCATTTGTCTGGTGTAGGGTTTCCTGCCTATGCAAGGGGTTGGACTAGAAGACCTCCAAGGTCCCTTCCAACTCTGTTATTCTATTTCTATTTTTCTATTTCTATTTCTATTATTTCTATCTCTATTTTATTCTATAAATAGCCACTCTCTAGGATGTATTCATTAGGGTAAGAGTAGTAGTGAAGAGTGAAGAAGTGAAGGACCACAGGAGACATGGTAGCAGTGTTTTGATATCTGAGGGGCTGCTACAGAGAGGAGGAAGGGGTCAACCTGTTTTCCAAAGAACCTGAAGGCCAGACAAGGAATAACGGGCAGAAACTGATCAAAGAGAGATTCAACCTGGAAATAAGGAGACATTTTCTGACCGTGAGAACAATCCACCCATGGACAAGAAGTTGCCTTCGGAAGTTGTGGGAGCTTCATCATTGGAGGCTTTCAAGAAGAGACTGGACTGCCATTTGTCAGAAATGGCAGTCCTGCTTGGGCAGTGGGGTTGGACTAGATGACATACAAGGTCCCTTCCAACTCTGTTATTCTGTTATTCTATAGTAAGCATTTATTCTGGCAGGATTCTGTCTGTTATATGTAAGCAGATAAAGAACTGAACCCCAGTTGAACCAGTCTGATTTAGTGGTTAAAGCACCAGACCAGAAAGCAGGAGAGCGTGAATTCCTGCCTTAAGCCATGAAAGCCAGCTGAGATCCTTTGGGCCAGTCCCTCTCTCTCTCTCAATCCAACCCACCACACAGGACTTGTGGGGAAATCAGGAAGAGGAAGGTGTGTTCAATGAGTTTGCCCACTTGAGTTATTTGTAAAAAGGCAGGATACAAAGAAACAAACAAATAAATACATAACCCCCTTCTTGGAAAGCGGTGGAATCTTTGTTGTGCAATCAATTGAATTTTCATGTAAGAAACTCATGGAGGGTGATAATAACTAGCAATATATTTTTTTTTCCCTGAAAAAAATATGAGTGAGCCAATGGTTTGTCTTCTTGCAGGCATTTAAGGTTAAGGGTTTATATGCTGTGCATATTTAAAATTTCTGTGAACTGCTGGTTTGCTGTTTCACAAGCAATTAGCAAGATGACCATGTTGGATCAGAGTTTTTTTGCCCAGGTAAATGTGTTTCCAAGCAAGGATTTTAATCAGTTTATCATCCTTTTATTCACTAAATGTTACAAGGAAACCCAATGTTAATTTGAAATGCTGCCACAAAAGGAAGATAAACGTACAGTTATAAAAAAAATAACAGTCAAGTTCCAAATTAATGTTTTGTTTCTTAAAATTGCAGGGAACTGTGGGGAGGGCTTCTTTGTTGCTTGCTTCAGATTAACAATCTTAAAAACTGAGAACATCCCTTAATAGGCATCATGCTTTTGTAAGGTACGGGATTTTGCTTAGATGTTTACAATTTCCATCTTAATCTTTTAAACACACATATCCTTCCCGCAAATATATTCCTGTTGGGTAAAATGATCTCAAAAGCAATTTTTGTACTTCTGAAAGCCATACAGGACTATCTGTACCCATAGATAGTTAGAAACAGCTTTATTTTTAAAACTACATGCAGCTGCTGTTTCTTTGTTTCCCTTATCTTAATTTGCCTTTTTTTTGTTGTTGTTGTTAAAACCTCCAATGAAGAGTTATGGAGGACTTCCAAACTGGCTCTACTCTGTGGCCTTTTAAGGACTTGGTAATGGTCTTGCTTTGATTCCAGTCCTTTCTGATGCCGTGATACATTTGACTATACACATGGAATTTATGTTTACCCAGATTCTGTAACTCAAGATAGTCTGTGACCGCAGGATTTGTAAGTCTGGTTTATGGCTTAGCATACGTGATCCAAACCAATTTTGATTTATTCATAGTTGGGTAAATTATGCGGTTTGTTGTGTTGAGCAGACTAAACAGAATGAGAATTTAAATGTGGTTGTCTGCTTGAAGGCATCTCATGGAGAGAAGGCCATCATCTTTTGCAGCTATCAATCCTTCAAGATAGGCCAGTTCAGGAAACGAATTGTTCTGACAGTGAGAACAATCCACCCATGGAACAGAAGTTGCCTTTGTAAGTTACGGGACCTTCATCACTGGAGGCTTTCAAGAAAAAACTGGACTGTCAGAAATGGTGTAGGGTCTGCTTACACAGCAGGTTGGACTGGATGACCTACAAGGTCCTGTCCAACTCTGTTAATCCGTAAAATCAAGAACTGCCTGTATCTCATCTGCAAAAGGATGATCTGACTGTACAGTAACAGCCACCTTGAGTCTGTTTGTCATCAAGAACAAAACTATTGAGAGTCCAAAACATCCCTCAAAATGACAGAAGCAGGAGATAATTCCAAGGAGGTCTCATTCTTCTACTCTGGATTCCTTTGGCTGCCAGGCCTACTTTTAAAAAAGAAAAACAGAAAACTCAGACACTCCTGCTATTTGATGACTGACATAATTTAAAATAATTTGCTCTTGTATATGTATTAGACAGCAAATTGGTTTTTCCATCAAAAGCATTTTTTTCCAGGAAAAATTCTGGCCATTAGCTGTTTAGTTCCTGCTCCTATAATATTATGCTCAGCAATATGATAATTATATCATATTGATGGATATAAATGGGGCATAATGCAGGGTTTGTTCATTGCAACCATAACAGATATAATTGAGACTAGACTGGTTTCTTGTAGTAGTTATTTGCTCATGGAGATTGTCGGCCATCCAGGTGTCCCAAAGGTGCTTTTTTCAAGAGGCAACTGGACTTTGGTTTTCCTTGAAGATGTTTTTCTTCTCATCCAAGAAGCTTCTTCAATTCTGGTGAATGGTGGAAGGTCGAAGGATTTATATTTCCTGCAGTCATCTAGTCGTTAGCACTCTTTTTGAGAGTTGTTGAGGCCACTGGGAGGTTTATCTGTGCCCTCAGGGTCACCTGAATAGTGCAAATGGGTGTGGAAACTTCTTACAGTCCTTTCAGCAGCTCCAAGAAGGCCTCACACTCTGAATTTAGTTGAAATCACTCCAACTTTCATCCTTAGCAGGGAGAAGCAATTGCCATCTCTTATGGCAAACCATTAGAGACCTTCACATTATGGTCTCCTTTTCTCATTCAGGCCACTTAAAAATTAAGAAGCCAGTGAGAATTGCGTATCTGTGTGCAAAACAGAAAAACAAGAGTGCTCTCTGCTAATTGGATGGAAAAGATGTTGGCTGGTGAATTTGGCCAGAAATATTTTATTCTAATTGCTGCAGCGCCAGGCCAAAGGTTTGCAGAGCTACTATTTGAACCAGCGGCTTTCAAACCTGGCTGGTTGTTTTTACACCAGTGGCCTCATTCCCAGAGTTGTTTTACCTACAAGTTAAGGATTGGGAGGCATTGTGGGGAAAAATAACATTATAATTTTGGTTTATGCAGGGACAAGAGTGGATCTATAAACTTTCTTCTTCTTCTTCTTCTTCTTCTTCTTCTTCTTCTTCTTCTTCTTCTTCTTCTTCTTCTTCTTCTTCTTCTTCTTCTTCTTCTTCTTCTTCTTCTTCTTCTTCTTCTCCTTCTCCTCCTCCTCCTCTTCCTCCTCCTCCTCCTCCTCCTCCACCACCACCACCTCCTCCTCCTCCTATATAACTTGATTGCAGGAAATTCGACTTCAGCAACAGAATGGTCAATGTTTGGAATACTCTGTGGTTTCTTCCCCAAACCCCAAAAACTTTAACTTTAGACTGTCTACTATTGACTTCACCCCTTTCCTAAGAGGTCTGTAGGGGGTTTGCATAAGCGCACAAACGTGCCTATCATCCCTGTCCTATTGTTTCTTTTATTTTCTTATATGTATCCATGCATTCATAACTATGTTTATACTTATACCTATTATCTTGTTAGCAATTGACAAATCAAATATATAAATATAAATGTAAACGTAAACATATAGGTATACATATACGTATATGTATATATATATATACGTTTTGTTAAGTTTTCGCGGGTACTTACATGTATGGTATTCAGCTTTGTTCGGGTATTTTCCCACATCATTATAGTTGTGCTTTTAAAGTTGTAGCAACGTTTCGACAGAAACTCATTTGCCATCATCAGGCTTCTGTATTCTATATTCTGTATAGAATACAGAATACAGAATATATATATATATCTGCGAAATGCCACTCACGCATCATCACAAAATCTCCAGAAGTGTAAAGTCTACCAACTTGATTTTGTGATGATGCATGAGTGATATTTCGCTTTTATATATATATATATAGATTTTAGGGACAGAAGGATCTTTTGCAGGCAGGTTTAAAAGGTTGAAATAATGCCCAAGAGGCCTAAATGACCGGTCGTAATTTGAGGAGTAATCACAACGAACTTTACTTTGGTTTGTCTGTTAGCCGAGGTTACACTTCAATCCGCTCCAAGATGTTGCTGTGTCTGATCCTGATGGCTTTGGAGCATCTCTGCCAGAAGATGCTTTTCCTCCATCACCCCCACCCGTCCTCTTTGCCATTTGCATGGCAATTAGTTAGTCAGAGTTTACCAAAACAAATCTCAAGGCAGCACCATTGGAAGCTATTCAACAAATGACTCAGAGTTTCTGGGTTTTCTTTCCCCCTCCCCATCCC